TTAAGCTATCGTTATTGTCTTTAAGAAAGTAATTGCATCTGAATTCAAGAATCTGTGTGATTTCGAAGTATTTAAATTTTTGAGATCTGAAAAACTGAGGCATGCTACAAACAAAGTTAGGTTAAGGATCCATCTGATTTTCCTTTTGATTCTTCTGCTAATAAAGTCAACATCATTGATTTTTTTATAGTTTTCTTGTGCTTTAACTTCCAGTGCTTCATATTTGATCTGATAGTTTCCTTTAAATAAATCATTTTTGGTGAATACTCTGAAGAAGGTTTTATCCCTTAGAAGAATTTTGGTAAAGATTATGAAATAAGGTTCCCGTTGGACTGAACCCTTTGGGATAGTATTGATTTTAGTAAATAAATCCACCACTGCTTTGGCATTGGTACAGCATGAAGATAGCTATGATGTCAGGTCAATGATTGTATCATGTTTGCTAACGAAAGGACCGTTTGTGTTTACTGTTTGATTGTTTGAGAGATTGTCTATAGGGTGATTGAAGATTGGGTTGCTCTCTATAAGTATTTCAATTCTTTTATTTTCTTTAGTACTTGGTAGTGCTATAAGAAGCAGGCTTTCTGAAGAATATTCGCAAAAGATGGGCATGAGGAGTTTACCATGTCTCCAATTAGATTTTGCTTTTTGTTTGGCCATTCTGCCTTGTCTAATATGTTTTCTCTCATTATTTGATTTGGATTGAAGTCTGGGTGAGCAATAGAAATGTTGTCAGGTATGTTTGCTAATTCTTCTTGAACCTGGCAGCCAAATTCTAGCAGGAAACTAATGTTGCCTATGGAGTTTGTTTGATCTAATGATTCCATAAAGACATCATTGTCTGAACATGAGCTAGTGGGTCTGATTGTGCTTTCTGATTTATCATGATTGTCATTGGTAATGACTGCATGGTAATAATCATCCACTTGCATCATGTCACTTGGGCTGTAAAGATCACTGTTGTTTGGTGATATAGCATCTGTTACACTTGATATGCATGAACTTTCAAGTGTCACAGGAGATGCATTTGCATTGCTGCTGACTTTAACCATATTTGCAGTGCTTGTGTTAAGTTGATCATTTGATGGAGTAAGCTGTTTGAGGTTTTTTTGGAAATTTGAAATATGGATTTTTTTCCTTTCAATTTTATTAAAGATATCAACAAGAAAAAAATCCTAATACAATAGACATTCTTTAATAAAATACAATAGTGATAGAAAAAAGAAATAGAAAACTATAACAGAATTAATTGCTGAGATTTTTAGTGATATAACAACAGCAAAGAATCACTAACTATTTCATTAAAACAGATAAAAAAAGAAATATTCAAGATTAAGCTCATATATAATGAACTGTCAATCTTGAATAATCTAGTCAAACAGAATATCCAAGAACTATTAGCAAACATTAAGTGTATTTTTTGTCTAAAATATAAAGAGATAGTAGATTATCTAGCAACTTGCAACAAACTCCAAAAAGAGAAAGATGGAATATGAAAAAAATTTTTTTAACATGTTGTATATATCTTTGAATTGTAAAGCATATCAACAAAAACAAAAAGAAAGTCAATAAAACTTGATACTAATTTATAGAATAATAAAAAAGTGAAAAATCAAAAACTGTTCTTAACAAAAGAAATAATAAATATTAATATAGGATTGTAAACAAAAGAACTTCAAAATGAATCCATATATGTTGTGGCTGAAAAATGTTTTTGACAAGGTATTTGATTTGACTCAAGTAAGTAATTTCTTTTTATTAATTTATTTTTGTCACTATTATCTGCATTTTTCTTTTTTTAAAGAATAAATGTTGATATTTTATACTTTTTTACAAGAAAAATTTAAAAACAATTTGGAAACATAATGAAAGATAAGAAAATTTTTATTACTTTCTAGTACTATTATTTAATCTAACACTAATTATATCATTATTATTTTGTTACAAGTGCCGGTTTCAGATCTATTTTTAACTTTCTTTTCTTCTCACGATCCTGAATTAATCATCAGTTATATGATCCTAATTGCATTACTATTGTTTTTATTCTTCCTCTCACAATGTCATATATTTAAGATATGAAATAACAGCCTAAAAATTTTTAAACAAAATATTACAGATCTGAAGTAAAAAGTTTGCTTAGCAAATTTAAAACACAAAATATGAAAAAATTTATAATCACAAGAAGCACATAACAAAGAAAAAGAAAGAAAGACAGATTTCAATTCAAAAATATTAAAAGAAGCCTTTAAGTCCAAGAATAAGTACAGATTACAAAAAAAAGAAAAGGAGATAATAGCAATACCAACAGATATAAACTTAGTAATCAAAGATATTAAGATTTCAAAAATCCTTATACAAATTTTAATAAATAAGATAAAAAAAATTAAGTAGTTAAAGACCTATGGATCTATAGCACAGTGGTAATGCTTCATATGTTATCAAGAGAAGGTTTAGGGTTCAACCCCACCTGGTTACAAAAATTTATCACCTTCATAATTGGTTGACTGACTTCCAATTCATGTCGTACCCAATCAGCTAACAAACAATCAATTTTCCAAATTTAGTTAGGTTGCATAAAGATAGAACCTCTAGTCTTCTCGATGATCGTGGACTAAAAACAGGTCGAAGCAAGAAAGGTTGTATAAGAAAAGGCTTCTGGTCTAACTTCAGTAATAAGCCCACAAACTTCAATCCAAACTGGCGATAGCAGACTTTGTTATACAACATAAAAAGATTAATTCTAAGCTAATCTATTCCAATCTGGAGCTTGTAAATCTATTTCAATGATAGCATTCTACAGAACTTAATTATATAATCGATGGGCAAGGTATCAGTCATAGGTGGTGAGAAGACTAGACAAAAATCGTTAAGCCAAGTATGTCTAGTAAGGATCTACAAGATTAAATCAGAATCTAAACAAGAATACCAGTTCCACAGGTGATGAAAATGATAGTGCTGTTTCATGCTAGTTGTACATCTCGAGGATCAGTGATAATAGTGAATGGAATACTGGAATCAATCTCTATAATAATATTTTACAACATACTTCACCCACGATGGATGCAGCTGAGACTGGACCTAGTAGGTTAGGTGGTTTAAACTAGTGGTAGAATTTTCACCTCCTATATAAGTCCCATCTGGCGTATATATTATCTATTTGATGTTTAAAATTCATATAGCTGGGTATGTCATAATTGGTTTAGAGGAAACTGGACTTACTAGAAATGGTGATCATCAGATAGTATTAATTTGCATTTAGGATAGCAATAACCTACTTTGTAAAGATACTTGATATACTGACTACAAAATGAAAGTTTAATAAATGTCACATATATAATGTTCTTAGCCAATTAAAAAAAAAAGAAAATTAAGTGGTTAGAAATATAATATAATTAAGATTTTATTAAAGTAAACTATAGTAATGAATTATAAGCAATAAACTCAAATCCTTTTAGAAATAAAGAAGATAAGCAAGTAACTTTATTTATTTTCAAGATTATATTTAGAAATTAATAATTAAAAACAGGTATTTAAGTATTAGCTTAGTTTATATATAAAAGTTCTATATTAGTATATTTTCAATTTTTATAATTAAATAAATATAATAAATACTTGTTTAATTATGAAATATATATATATATATATATAATTGTATATATTGATAAAATAAAATTTGTTTTTTTATTATTATTCATAATTTTTAAAATGAATTATTTTAATTAAAGATTGAATTATTAAGATTTTTTTTTGTATACAATATATATACAGTCTGATGTAAATGTCTTTAAATTAATTTTTAGTTTTTGATTTTATTTATAAATTAACAATTAATTTATAAAATATAATAAAAATTTGAAAATATATACTTAAAATTCCAAAGAATAAGATTATTTGATAGAACTTTTTAAATATAATATAATAATATAATTAAATTTTGATTTAAAGTTAAAATATATTTTAAACATTCAAAATCTTATTGTATATTATGAATTATAAAAAATTAATAAAATTATTTTAATATACAGATTTGTTAAATAAAAACAAAAAAAAACAAAAAATACATTTTTATAATTTTTTTATTAATTAAAAAAAAAATTTTATAAAGTTAAATTAAATGAAAAATTTTATAGTAAAATTAATTCTTTAAAAAATTTTAATAGTAAAATAATTCGAAATTGATATATAAAAAAAGTTAATAAATTATAGTCTTTTTAAAAAACTTTAAAATCAATATTTTAATATAAAAAAAAATTTGCTAAAATAATGAGGTTATATTTACATCATTTGACTACGTGTAAGTTTCACCCAGATTGAATTGCGGAATTTTTTTCCTTCTGATTGTGAACATTTTTAATTTTTCTACTTACTACATGCATATAAATTTGTTATTTCTTTATACATAGTTTTTTCGGTAAGCCGGATTACATAAACATACAACCCTAGCCTTTTATATTTATTATTATTGTTTATGAGATTCGTAACTTACATATTTAATGTTATCTAATACCGAAGAAATCATGGTATTTAAAATTCTACAAATCTTATAATTTTATAAGTATTTTTAATGAGTTTCCAGATTTTTTGCATCGTTTTAGGTGATGCCATTGGGAATTCTTTTCCGGTTGATGTTCATAAAAACACGACCGTTGGGCATCTAAAGGGACTTATCAAAAAGAAGAAGGAGCCCGATTTAAACAATGTATCCGAGGACAGTCTAAAGCTATGGAGTGTGAATATTCCTACCGAAGGGGAGAATCTGGTAACCAAAATATATGCCGAAAATATCAAAGAACAATATCAAGGTATAATGTTATCTCCGTTCAAAACTGTTGGAGACTATTTTTACGGATCCACTAGTAACATCCGAATTATCGTACAACCGCCTGTCACCACTAGTAAGTATCTCCTAATGTTTTACTTCGAAAAAGAAATTTGCAGTAATAAATTATCAATTTAGCATTACATTTGTGATTTCTTTAATTGACTTTTAATTACTAGTCATGGATGTTATTAATATTGCCTTAAAGAAGGCTATTAATATTGATATTGTTAGACCTGACGATAAAATGCCTTTTATGGAGCGTGACACCAATCAGGCAATTACAAGGATTATAAGAAATATTGGAAATCATATTAAAGGTTCTAAGTCCAAAGCAGATTTTGACATCCTTGTTAGTGGTGGAGCTCCTGGAATAGGTATGATCTTAATACAATATGTTTAAGTTGATTTATTATACATGTAGTTATATCATAAATCTCATGTATAGGTAAAACTCGGTTTGGACAGGAACTATTCAAACACCTGGAAGGTAGTCAGAACGACTGGGTCCCTTCTGAATGGACAAATCTACAACTTAAAGATCTCTATTTAGACTTCGGTAATGGGTGTCGACTTGATTCATATGATGATGAGCTAACTCCAACAGTCATCATCGGACTGCGGATTGCCTACGTGTTTTTTATTGAAAGAAAATATGATATGAAGTTTATAACTTTTCGCGATCGAGTTTGGGAGTATAGAGAAAATTTCAAAATACCCAATGTTTTCGAATGTATTTATGATCATTTAATCCAACTCAATAGACAGCTCTTTGTGTTTCTTCATATTGACGAGTTTCAGCTCATTGATCGGTGGGAGTGTGACGCAGTTAATGAAAGGAAAATGCCAGTAAAACAGCTCTTTAAAGAAATGATCAATGGCCTTGCATCGTTCATGCTTGGTCCACCCTCCCGTATCTATGTCCAGACATTTCTTTCTGGAACAACACCACAAGTCGTTATCTCTGCAAAAGAATCATCAAGGGTTTCATTTGGATTCGTCAATTGCCCACAACTGTCATTCAAAGCACTGCTTAATATTGCAAATCATTATGCACAAAAATACGATGCAGAAAAATTCGCCTGTGGTACGTACAAATGGATGCTTTGTCGACCATTTCTCCAACTTTTGGAAGACACTGGAGGATTGCCTCGTGCACTTCAGTACATTTTTGACGTGTGCTTTGAAATCGAAGTTAATGGAAAGAAATTCTTCGATGATATTTATCAACAGCACTTTAATACCATCTTTTATAATGTCAAACACCATCTTCAAGAACGCTACAACATATACGAAACCATCGAGAAGAATGAAAAACTTGCTTTAGAGCTTCTTTTTCACAGTATTGATGCAATTCCTGTTCATCGTAAGACATGCCTAGATCCAAGCGATCAAGACTGTACAATCGAAAACCTCGAGCGTGACGCCCATATTATTCTCAATCCCCGCAATGCCACTTCCTCTGAATTTACCATCAAGATGCCTTTCTTTTTTATCTGCTTATACAATGATAAATTAAAAATCATAGACTCCAATCTAGAAGAGACACTCCGGGTACAAAACTCTATGCATTGGCAAGATTGGGAACTTTTTGTGGCATACTACGAGACATTTTGCACGAACTTGCTAGTAAAAACGTGGAAAGCATACAGTACGTCTGGGGGAGTTATATCGTGGCGTCTATGGGACCGAATTGACCAAGAATTTTGAGGTTAGGTTAAAGAAACTTTCTGTCCGTCGAGCACAAGAGCAGTTCCCATGTTTAAAGTTAACAGAAAAAGATTCTGCAAAGTCCATTCCCTGGGAGAAAGGCGAAGATGTAATTGTCAATGGTGTGTCTGCTAAATGGGGAAATTCATTTAGAGTTTTGGAAGCAGTTCAAGGTGATCGTTTCTTAAGTATTCACCAAGCCAAATATGACTATAATTCGGCTACATACACTTTAAAAGATCTTTTCAATGAACACACTAAGAATTGTGAGACTTCCGCTTTTAATACTACAAAGCAGATTTTCGATAAACTTGCTGATTACCGTCACATAACGATTGTTTTCACAACACAACCATTTTATGAAATAGTTCCATATGACGATTGCTTTGTTATTTCGTGTAACAATTTCGAACAGTGCTTTGGGCCTGTATTTTCTTCTCGTGCTACATTTGCCTTGACAAAAAACATCAACCCCAACTTTTCAGAACTACAAAGGATGGTGGAATGTCTTCCCGGGGTCGGTGATGTCACTGCTGAAAACATTATTATAAATCGGCCATATAAAAGTGAGGATGACTTCTTTAAAAAGCATAGTCGGGCTAAACGAGGAAAGGAGAAGCATGAGCATGAGAATCCCGAAAAGAAACTCAAACTTGACTTCTACCCATTTAATGTGTAAAAAATAAGGAAGTACAAGTTAGTTTCGCGCTCAATGCGAGGATATTTTTATCAATTATCAATGTGCAATCTACAATGCAAATATAATATCAAATATAGCTGTATGTTTTATAGTTTTTATTTGATTTTAATAAAGTTTATGCATAATTAAAATTGAATATAGGAAGTAGCGGATGTATTAAGGGAGGATTTGACGAGCCCTAACTCATAATGGCAACTCCTTCCCTGGTACTCCGTATTATAATCTAAATTATAACTATTTTACTATCTATAGACGCCTATTTCATTTAATGTTTTGCATCTCAAATCATGGAAAAAAATTTTTGCAGTCTCCTTACTAATCTTCTCATCCTAAGACCAAGAATTTCAACAGATACTATATTATACATATCATCCAACAAACAATTGTTTTCTGCCCTGATCTTATCAAAAAATAATTTTAAATTGATTTCGGATTGTCAAGGTGATACCAGAAACGATTGTTGACTGGAATCAGAAGAAACTTCGAATTGGTTTTCATCACTTTGTCGGTCGGATGAGTCGTTGTTTTGATGTTTGCTTCCTCGATGGGTTTGATTTTTCGGAGCATTATTAATTAATACAAATTCTAACATCATTCTTTAAATGTAGGCATCAAGATTTGCAAGAATTTCATTAAACATGGTATCACGTGTAAAATGTCGGAATTATGTTTGCGTTCATGTCTTGCTTATTGAAACGTGAAAAATCCAACGTAACACCGATAAATAAGTACTGTATACTGTATAGAGACTTCTAACCAACATCAAAAGGCCGGCGAAGTCCAAAAACGGAGCGATTTCGAAATAACAAGCGATATCATCTATAAAAAAAAGTTAGTCTATTAGCATATATAGTGTAAGACAAATAACAAATTGCCAAAATAAGATAAAAATTTATTTTAATACTTAATAAAGTTTATAAAATTTAATTTAAAAACATTTATAAAAAAATATAAATAATTAAAAAACTCTCCTGATACACCCACATCACGAAAAAATTACTAAATTAGAAAATTCAAAATTACTTCTTGAAAAACAAAGCAAAAGATCCTGGGGAATCTTCCCTCCCCAAGGGTCAAACAACCAACCATGAACATATTCTCTTCGACATTCTTGTAACCAACATCAAAAACCTCCAAGCTACTATTGTCCGAAGCAAAGCGTAGGACCTATACTTCTACGCATAGTGATATCGAATGTCTGTTTGTCCGCACGCCATAT